CTTCGTCCCGTCCACCAAGGGCAAGAAGGTGAGGGGACGGCCTTCGTCCCGTCCACCAAGGGCAAGAAGGTAAGGGGACGGCCTTCGTCCCGTCCACCAAGGGCAAGAAGGTAAGGGGACGGTCGCTTCGTCCCGCCCACCAAGGGCAAGAAGGTAAGGGGACGGTCGCTTCGTCCCGTCCACCAAGGGCAAGAAGGTAAGGGGACGGTCGCTTCGTCCCGCCCACCAAGGGCAAGAAGGTAAGGGGAATTTAGGCTTTACCCTCACATTATACCTGCATTAAAATTACCCCAGCATATATTAATTACCCTCTCATCTCAAGAATTACTTTACCCTTATCTTAACGGCACAATTACCCTCGCGCTAATTTCTTACCCTCATATTCCCCCAAGTTACCCCAGGCTTTACTCTGTATCAGCATATTATTTAGGGTAACATGTTCCATGTTACCCTAAAATTGCCCCAGGCGTTACCCTGTCCTTACTCACTGCCCTCTCTAACCCCACCCACTACCCTCTCAACCCCCACCCCACTCACTACCCTCTCTAATGCCACCCCCACTCACTGCCCTCTCAAATTCAACCTTTACTCACCACCCTCTCACCCCACCACTCACCCCCCACTCACCCCCACTCACCCCCAGGTGAGCAGCGGCAAGCTCGTGGACCGGTACCGCAACGTGCGCAAGCTGCTCTACGCGCTCTCTAAGAAGGGGGGCGAGCCCGCCCCCCGTGACGACTCCCCACCTCCCCCCGACGAGGGGGAGGAGGGAGGGGGGGCCCAGGACCACGGGGCCCATGAGCTGGCCCAGCTGATAGCCTCCTCCTCAGGGATGGGGAGGCCCGAAGGAGACAGCGGGCCCCACCGAGGTTACGACAACTCTCAGGCCATGGTGTCCTCCACCAGCTGGGCCCCAGCGGGGGATGGAGGAGGGGGGTACTGGGGGGCCCGACCACCTGTGGTGGGGTATGGGCCCCCAGGTGGGCCCCACTACGGCAGCAGCCTGCAGCTGTTCCCTGGGGCCCGCACGTTGGGCCAACATCTCGCCTCCAGTGAGCTGGGTCGGGCCCTCGTGGCCTCATACCGACGCAAGAATAACTTCGAGCCCTCAGAGAGGCGCAAGCTGGTGCAGGTGAGGCCATGTGAGAGGCGCAAGCTGGTGCAGGTGAGGCCATCTGAGAGGCGCAAGCTGGTGCA